GGGCAATGAATGTACAAATGTGCTTTACACAATTGATGTGTGTATGGATTGTGATAAGAGTTGTATGAGCCCCTAATAAAATGATTAAAAAAAATCTATACATAATTTCTGATTATTCGCAAATACTTCTTTGGGGAATTTTGTTGTTGTGGTTCCCTGGCTTCTGTGTCATGGTTAGTGAAAGCTAATTTAATGGCTCCAGAATTTAGAATACATTTCTACTAATGGGGTCAATCAGAGAGCACTATGGTTAACACTTTTTATTCAAGTAGTCAGAATTTACAATCTGATGAAGTATTTTAACTTTGCCATGTACTTTTTGATAACATTTGCTATCATATTTAACAGGATAATTTCCTTATGTACTTATTTAGTTTTTAAGCAAACTATTCTCAATACTTCATAGAAAAATAATGTATGTGAATGAAAATGAATGAAACATTCTTCTTAAATTTATGTTTTTATCAAGGGTATTTGTGAGAGACAGGATTTATTATTTAGAAGATAAATGTCACACATATTTGTGTTTTTTACAGCTCTGATTTGAGGAAAAGAATGTTAAGATGATAAATATTCCTTTATTTCCAGTAGATTGATCAAAATGAGGAACTAAATAGAGCTTTAAGTGATTTAACTGCAAAAAGGAAGTAAAAGCACAAATTAGTAGTAATAATTTATTTAATAAACTTTAAAGGTAATTTCTGATCTACTAGTTCACCATCTCTAGTAGATGGTGATACTAAACTACCAGTAATAGTTAACTAAACCAGAAGTACTAGAAACTTTTTCCTAATATAGAGATCCTATATAAAGATGACTACTGTTTTTCCTAATATATAGATGGCTACTTTTATTTGTTTATTTGGTTTCTGCATATTAATGAGGTCTGACTAATTGGTTTTGTGATAACTGAAATATAGTATGGCTGACTATTAAAACAAATATATTTTCTTACCTGTGCTCTATGCAAGTTCAGGTTCAAGCTGAGGGAAATTAAAACAAGGCCATCAGAATCAAAATCCAGGATCGTCTATAGTGATCCTACTTAGAGATGTTGGTATTGAGTAGCCTTCTGGTTCTGGTCTTTGGCTAGTGGAGCCTTTGGTTTGTATCACCCTTTAGACAAATTGTTTCCTCGAGTCTTTGTTTTTCTTCATTCTTCTTTGCTGATAGAGACTGATAGTTGCAGCTTTTTGTTGTTGCTATTGTTGAGTGCTATTGAGCTGATTCCAACTCATAGAGTCCTTATATACAACAGAATGAAAGATTGCCTGGTCTGTGCCATCCTAAATGGCTGCTTTTAAGACCCCCAACAAACATTGCTATTATTACCTCGGTAAGATGATATAGTACTGTTGCTGTTGTTTTGATTATCATCTCTTTAAATGCTAATGACATGAATATTTCTTTTATGTATTTGTTGGCTGTCTGAATGTATTCTTTTGTTCTTCATTTATTTCATCAATGCTTTCTAGTTTTTCATATAGAAGTCTTTTATTTTCCTAGTTAAATTTATTTTCCTGAGGTTTTTCTTTTTATATGCTATTGTAAATGTAATTAATTTTTAAATTTTCTTTCCTGTTCATTGCTGCTGTTTAGAAACACAGCTGATTATATTGTGCTGACCATGTACAAGTTTGCTAAATTCATCTTACCTCTACTAGCTTTCTTGTGGATTCTCTGGAATTTCCTATAAATAGGATCATGTCATCTGCAAATTAAAATATAGTTTAACTTTCTCCTTTATTATTTGGATTTCTTTATTCTTGTGTAATTGCTCTGACTAGGACTTCTGGTACAATGTTGAATAGCAGTAGTGGAATTGAGCATCTTTGTCTTGTTCTAGATCTTAGCAAGCAGCTCTCAATCACTCTCCCATTTAGTATGGTGCTAACTGGGTTTTTCATAAATACGCTTTATCATATTGAGGGATTTTCTTACTATCCTACTTTGTTGAGTGTTTTTTTCAATATATCTATATTTTTATATTTGAGAGGGTGTGTGTAGAAAAGCCAGCAGCCACTATAGTGGGCCCTATTCAGTGGCAGGTTCTTGTTCTATAGGGTTAAGGAAGACTTTGAGGAAATAAAAGTTGTTTGGAAAACTCCAGGTGTAGTTGCTTTGTATGTTGTGACGGGTAGAAGGGATGAAGTGAAGGGTGAGCGCAGGCCCTCGTACCCTCCATCTTGCCTCAGACTATGTCCTGGAGCCCAGGGGCTGAGAAAGCGCCACTCTCATTCCTGCTTCTTGGGATTGTTGACGGCCACGTAGTGGTAGAGAACGACAAGCAAGAAGAGCGACACGCCCAGTATGTTGGTGAACATGGCGAGCTGCACGCCCATGATCATCCTGACCGGCCCAGCTTGGCTCCGACACTCTCAGCGCACAACTTCGCGGTCAGCGACTTGTGTTGAATGTTTTTATCATGAAAAGATTTTGGATTTTTCCCCTGTTTTATTGGCATATAATTCACATATACAATTCAGCAGTTAATCATATCAAGAAGAGTTGTATAATCATCACCATAATTAGTATTAGAAAAATTTTTTTCATTCTTATGCTGCTATTATTAGCTCCCAGTTTCTCCCAACCCTCTCCTGCCATATCCTCAAGGAACCATTAATCTCGTTACTGTCTGTCTCTCTATATTTTGGATTTCTTAAAATGCTTTTATCAGGTGAATTTGAGATGATCATGTGGCTCTTTTGTTCCATTATTGTGTTTTACTACACAGGTTATTTTCGAATGTTAACCCCCCCTGGCATTTCTGGGATAATTTCACTTGGTCATGGTTTAGAATCCCTTTAAGGGTGTTGGATTAATTTTGCTAAATTCTGTTAAAGAATTTTGAATCTTGTGTTTTTGTCTGGCTTTGCTATCAGGATAATGCCACTCCACAGATGAAATTAGAAAAGGTTCCCTCCTCTTCTACTCTTTGGAATTATGTCAGTTCTTTAAAATTTTGATATAATTCCCTAGAGGAACCATTTGGTCCAGGACTTAAAAAATTTTTTTTTAATTGGGAAGTTTTACTTACTGATTCAATCTTATTTTTCAGGGGTAGATTGAATTGAATTGACATTTTCTTTCTTCTTGAGATAATTTAGGTAGTTTATGTGTTACTAGGGATTTGTTCACTTCATCTAAGGTATATAATTTGTTAGTGAACAATTGTTCTAGCAGTCTCTTTAATCCATTTTATTTCTTTATGGTTTTTGCATTGTACTTATTTTCATTTCTGATTTTAGTTATTTGACCATTTTCTCTCTGTATTGTCAGTCTAGCTAGTTTTGTTGATTTTATTGATTTTTTTCAAAGAACTTTTGGCTTTTGTTGATTGTTTAGTTTTTTTTATGATCTATTTCATTTATTCTCTGATCTTTGTTACTTTCTACCTTGTATTAGCTTTGGACTTTGTTCATCTGTTTCTGTTTCCTCAAGTTATAGATTGAGATTATTGATTTGAGACAATATTTTTCTATTATTTTAAAATAGTTTTATTAGCACTTCATCCACATATCATATAATTTAGTAGTTCAATCATATCAAGAAGAGTTGTACAATCATCACCACAGTCAATTTTAGAACATAATCTTCTTCCTTATACTCATTGTTATTAGTGTAATTATTATTTTGATTGTGGCAAAAATATACACAACAAAACATTCTCCAATTCAGTAACTTCTACATGTATAGTTTAATGTCATTTATTATACTCTTTGTGTTGTGCAACCTTTATTGATATCCTTTTCCAAATTATTTTATCACAATTAACATAAACTCAAAAGCAAAAACTCTTCCTTCACCCATGGTAATCATTGGTCAACTTAGATTTCTTCCCTTTTTTCCCCCTGTAGTTTTCTTGATATAAAATTCACATTTCATATATTTCCATAGTCAAGTCATAGCTAAGTTAAAAAAGAGTTGTGTGTACATCATCACAATCAGTTCTAGTGCTCCCCTTTCCTCCATTCATTGTTTGCTCCCCAATTCCTTTCACCCTCCCACCCGTTGCATCATTTATTGTCTCTCTCCAATTCTTCTGTGCTTCATAAACCAAGAAACCTAACAAACAATAAAAACAAAAACAAAATGAAACAGAGAAGAAACATATATAAAGATAAAAATAAACAGTAAGAAAGAAAACAATCACCAACAATATTTAAAAAACCAGAGAAAAAGTTTCTGTCATGGAACCAAGCAAGAGCTATTTAAGCCTAGGACAAATTCAGGTTGGGTCAAGAGGGAGGTTAGCGGACCAAGTATCACATTATACCATAGCTTGATCAAACATAATCAAGTTTATAATAATTTCTGTCTGCTAGCAAAGCTGTTTGAGACCCTCCCTGTGGCCAGAGGGGATCTGCCATAAGCTTAATCTGCAGATGGATATTGAGTTCCCACTGCCCTCCACAGCTTTCTACAAATTGAATGTTCACCATTTCAGCTCTGATACTTTTCCCTTCATCCACATCACATTTAGATTTTGTTATTGTCATCTTTGGATCACACAGGCTGGTGTGCTTCAATTTGGACTTAGTTGGTGCCTCACTTAGGTGGCTGCTTGTTTGAATACAAGCCTTTAAAGACCCCAGACACCATTCCAGTTGATAGCTGGGCACCATCTGCTTTCTTCACCACACTTTAATGTAGCACCCTTATCTTCAATGATCCCTTCATGAAAGTGAGTATTGAGCAGGGCCATGTTATAAGAACTGACTGTTCTTGGTTTGGGGGTAGAATTATGTGGGAGCCCAGAATCCATCTGCTTGTCCACAGGTTTTGAACGACTCTGGTTTACTTTAGTAGTCATATTATGACAAAAACAAAAACCAACAGGAACAACAATAAAAAACACCCCCCTCCAATAAAACAAAAAAGAAAAACCTTATTAATCAACCTCCTGATGTAGAAGGCAATTTCACTGATAACATCAATAATTTATCCAATGGCATAGAATTTGCTTTTGATTCTTAAGCTAAGACAGCAGAAGAGATGATTTATTGTTTTACATTGCATTGAACCACAACTGAGAACAGAACTAGTCCAGAATGTCATAGGCCTGGGGCAAAGGATCAAAATTGGACTGCTTACGGGTGAGCAAGGTGGGTCTCTTTGGTGCTCGCAGCGACTGAATGGTGATAGAAATTCTAGATCAGCGGTTCTCAACCTGTGTGTCACGACCCCTTTGGGGGGGTCGAGTGACCCTTACACAGGGGTCGCCTAAGACCATCAGAAAACACATCTTTCTGATGGTTTTAGGAACTTAGACACCGCTCCTCTGTCTCTCTCCAGGCCCACATGCAGATACCCCCACATATGAGTACCTGGCGTGAAGACTGTTACCCATGCTACACCATACTTCAGGACAAAATTCCATTTATTTGTAATTATAAATATTTCACAATATATAATTACATATTTTTGTGATTAATCATTATGTCTAATTTGTAACAATGAAAATACATTCTGAATATCATATATTTACATGACGATTCATAACAGTAGCAAAATTACAGTTATGAAGTAGCAACAAGAATACTATTATGTTTGGGGGTCACCACAACATGAGGAACTGTATTAAAGGGTCACAGCATTAGGAAGGTTGAGAACCACTGTCTAGATCCACAGATGGTAGCATTCAGTCAATAACTTATACCAGTGTCCCGGCCTCAGTCACAACATATTCCTGCAGCTGTGGCTTCCGAGGGTACACACGGTTGGTTTACTTGGACCTCTGCCTCATCTTCTCGCGCTTCAGTGTGCGCATTCTCTTCTTCCTCCACTTGGCTCTCATGGCTTGGAGGTTTCTAACTAGATGGTGCTAAAGCCGAGAGACCCAATGGCGTAGCATTTAAGGTACTCTGGATATGAGTTTATCCAAGTGTAATCCAACTGCGTGTGCCCCATAATTAATACTTGTATGTTGTGCTTCCATTTTCACTCAACTAAATATTTTCTGATTTCTTCACTGATCCTTTGTTTAATAGTATGCTATCCTTGTAATACTGATTTCTAGTTTTATTCCATTGTGGTTAGAGAAAACAATTTTGGATGATATCAACCTTTTAAAATGTATTGTTTTAAATTTATTGAGAATTGTTTTGTGACCTAGCATATGGTCTGTCTTGGCGAATGATCCATGTGCACTGGAGAGGAATATATATTGTGATGTTGTATATGTGTCTGTTAAGTCTGTTTGGGTTATAGGGTTAAAATGCTCTTTATCTTTATTGATGTTTCGGCTAGATGTTCTAGGTATTATAGAGAGTGATGTATTGAAATATCTGTTGTAGAATTGTGTATTATATATTCTACTTAGTCTTTTTGTCTAATATTAGTAAACTCCTTAATTATCTTTTGATTACTGTTTGCATGGAGTACTTTTCTTTTATCATTTCATTTTCAACATGTGTATATGTCCTTGAGTTAAATGTGCCTATGGTCTCACAGCATATAGATGGAAACCCTTCACCTTCTTTCTTCCAATCTCTGCACTTTGACTGGAGAGCTTAAGCCATTTAGATTTAAATTATGTATTGTTAAGAAAGGATTTATGCCATTTTTATTCTTTTGCATACAACCTATACATTTTTAGTCCTTCATTTTCTTTAGTACTTTGCCTTTTGTGTTTTGAAATTATTTTGTGACAAACCGTTTTGGTTCCTTTCCTTTTCCCCTTTTGTGTATATTTTTTAGATATTATCTTGTGCTTACTATGGGGACATTTAACACCCTAAATTTATAACAACCTAGCTTAAATGAATAGCCACAGTAACATACAAAAATTCTATCCCTGCATTGCTTCTTTCCCCCTTTATGAGTTGGCATAACAAGTTACTTCTTTATATATTATATGCTGAATAACATAAACATAACACAGTTTTCTACTCCAGAGGGCTTGTTACTTTTGTCCAGGCTGATTGACATTTCCTGGATAAGTTGTAAACAACTTGATGGCTCAATACTTTCTGTATGGTCCCAGGCTGTAGCCAGCACTGTGATTAGTATCTACTTTTCAGGGATTGGTCAGTAGGATATGCAAGTGAAGTATTTGTGACCCACTCTGTAAATGAAGTCTCTGTGGCCTACCAAGAGGGAACTGGTCAGTTCTTGGCCTTGGTGGGAGGGTTATTCTTGAAACTGGCAGAGTGTATGCAGCCAACCCCTCAGAGAGAAAGGAGACGAGGAACCTACTAAAAGGTTCTGGAACTGACCTTTGTGGCAGAGCTGGTAGTAGCAGGTCCAGAAGGGTTTCAGTATCATTCCATGGTAATGTCAGGAAGGTCCAAAGCAGAGAAGCCTGTGCTGAGGAGGTGGACAGGAGGACTGCATGGCTAAAAGGGAG